TGAAGGTTCCGGTGAGACATGTCTTTTCTTTTTTGGGCTTCCTTTTCAACATGTCCCCCATGTTGGGAAGACCCCACAGTCTAAGACACTCTCCATGAAGATGACCAGCCAGGATGCTAGAACTGGCGGATCATCCACGTTGATACTGCTAAACTTCCTTGGCCACGGATTCACCCTGGACTTCCTCTCTTAAATTTTGCGTCTTCGATCGTCGTTTCAGTGAAATCTCGAAATCACAGTGGGTCAATGTTCGTTGCGCTGCGACTGAGGGACTCTGTCCTGCCTGATCCTGACCTCGCAAGGCATCGACACAAACGTTCCCGCTTCCCCACCTGCTTAGACGTCGAGAACCAGCGAACTGTCCTAGACCGTTCGTTACGTTGAGCCGTGTAACTGCGTGGTGCTCCCTACAAATGGCGCCAAAATGCTCTCTGTTTCACATGACAAACCCCATCTGTCGATTTGGTTGCTCTTGACGCAGACCCGTTTTCACGGCTCTTTCGCTACCTTTCGCCCCCACAGGAACTCAATGAGTCGGCATCTATGCGTTTCATTATGTTCTTGGCGTGCGTCAGGAAGCTGTTCCAATCCACAGAGTTCATCGCAGTTGACAAGGAAGCGTCTCTGCTCGGACGTTTTGCGTCTGGGCCTCATTCACACCACTCCGTGAACAGCTTGGGCAGGCCAAACATTGCAAGAAGCGCCGGGCCCCTGGTGAGCCAGTAGAAGGCTCATGAACCTTTCGCGAACCTTGCGCGGATTTGTTCGGCTCGGACTGCGTTGTGCGCAACGCGTTTCCAACAAAAACAGAACAACAAAACGCAAGAGGCTGATGAAACGCGGTCGACAGGATTGGGTACCTTCCCCATTCTTTCCAGAGATCCTTGTTTTCAGGAAACCAAAAACCCAGGTTTTGAAAAGAACGAGGGTTGAAAAGAATGGACAAGGAATCAACCCATGGTTTACACCTCAAGGTACTTTTGATCGTGAGCCCAGCCAGGTTCTGGTTCACAGGCAGTGGCTCAGACCATGGAAGCCCAAGATGGCACCTCAAATGGAACCATTGACTGACACCGGTTTGCCCTACCGTGGACGAAATCCCTTCGCCCCACTTGGAAATCATGGAAAGCCATTCGTTGGTATTTGCAGGGGAATCATCACTCCATGCTTTCTTAGGTGGTGCGAAATGGACTTCGTCCATCCACAGTAGCTCTGGAAAAAACTTGAGCCACAGGAAATGGGGTCAAAATAGGTACCCAAAATAGAACCCTGGTGAATGGAAACGTAGGCTAAAACCTGCGGTCCATATCCTGGTGGTGACTAATTTTGACCCATACCCAGATGTTCGCCGGGTGCAAGTCAATCATCTTTCCGTGGAAAGAATTCCATGTGCTGACATGAATCTGTTGTCTTTCCACCTCCACTGGACACGTTTTGTTTCTGGGGGTCTTAAGCAAATGGAGGAAGATGATTAAACCCAATTTGGCCAGGCAAGTGTCAAGCGCGCCCCGTCCCGAAAGTCCATCTGGAAGGAGTAATACCCCGCCGTGGTGATGCTCAGAGTGGTGGCAAACTGTGCCGCGAAGCCGGTGCTCGGCTGCCTCGGAGGGCGATTTTCCCATTTTTTTAATGCGCCGAAAAAGTGCGGAGGCAAAACAAGACATGGCTGTGGTTGTCCAAACCGTGTTGGGATTTGGGTGAAATCACCACCCATTTTAGTCTAAAGTGGGGATTGGGATGTTCACTGGGGGTACGGGCTTTTCACCCATGGCCACATGTTGTTTTTTTTCAAATAGGGGGACTCCCAAAGATTATTTTTAAAACCAAGCTTCAAACGGGAACCCTTCAAAATTTCACACCCAAATGGTTGCGATCGTTTGCGGGTCCATGTATGTCATCACTTTCTCTAAAATCCCCACCAAACCGGATTCTTGTTTCTCACGGTTGGGTGTAAAAATCGACTCTGAATTGGATGCCTCCAAGCCAAACCAGGCGGCTCCAGAACATCAACAACCAGTTTGCTTCGCGCGTCAGTCCAATGCATGATTCCTGCTTCGAGTTCCTGAAAAACGTCCCGTGCCGAGCTCCGGAACTCGAAAGCTGTCCGAACTCTCGTCTCATGGGGCGCTTTCTCCAAGAGTCCAAGAATGTTGCCTGCCTCGCAAGGTGAAGTGCTTTTCCTCCAAGAGCCCACCTTTGCCTCCCAAATTGCCCCAAAAGGCCAAGTGTCATCCAACTTGGGTTCCCCCTTTTTTTCCGGGGTGGAATCAGGACCCCGGCCAAAAAAGAGGCTTTGCCTGGCTGGGAAAATCCAAGGGGACCCCCAAAAAGCAAAAAACAACTTGATGGCAAAATCCAAAAAAAACAAAACAAAAAATGAACATGAATAATAGGGGGAGAAAAAAAAAACGGAGAAAAAAAACAAGAAGGACCAAAAAGGCGGAGCCAGGTCGGGGGAAACTGAGGATCCCGGCGAGGCAAAGTCGGATGAGCTGAAGTCTAAGGTGCTGGGGGTGGCCGTCGAGCTAACAGTCTGATATGGCAGGTCCTGATCAAAGGCCGCGTTTTGGGCAGGGAGGGGGGGGGAGAGGGGGGGAGGGGGGGGAGGGGGGGGGGGAGGGGGGTTGGGGTGGGGGGTGGGAACCGAAAGGAAGCCACATGTTTTTGTGGGGGGTGGACAATGGAAAGATTTGCCAGTGGCCAAAAAGAGATTCCCTTCTCCCAAGTTGACTGTACAAAATCAAGCAAGTCAGGCATTGCTGCGACCTTACAAGCAGCAGGGGCCGCATAGCCCGGTCACGACAGCAAACACCTGGTATAAAACTGTGCATATTTCTGCGGGCATCCGACTATGTACACAAACAAGCCACAGAGATTGGGCCGAGTTTTGCACCATAGCTTGGTGGGAAGACAGGTGATTCGTGATTGGGCCCCTTTGCCTTTGAAGCCATCCACATGCCTATTGGAGACATGACCGTTTTTGGGACAGAAAAAAAGGGATCGGGATGCATGAGTCCCTGCTCTTGTGTTGTTTTTTAGCACACCCCAAGAAACTGATTCTAGTCTCACGAACAGTTTAATGCTTTAAGTTTTGAGGAAGGTCGCCTTCTTCGAGCCTCGGGATGCACATCCCTCGCATCCCGCGCATTTCTTGCCTTTGGCTCTTTGCCATGCCAAACCCGAAGCAGGGCTTAAGGACGCGTCTCTTCGCGGGCCGAAACCCACGTTGCAAACGGCCCGCAAAACGTGATCCGGAGGTACAAACGAACTGGGTGGACCCTCCGACTGAGGCAACGGGAAGCCATTTGCAGCTTCAGCCATCCGTATTCATGGGAATCAAACAAACCCAGCAACTTAAACATCTTAAACTCGCGGCGGATGTTCAATACACATTGAACTCAAGAGCTTCCGCTACAGGGGAGGCCCGATGAATCGGTGTTTCTCTGTTTCTCACGCCCCACCGAGGCCCATTTTGGTGCCGGGCATCTGATGGGATGGCGGTCAAGGTGGAATGGAAATAGTTCGCTTTGAAGGTGGTCGCACGGCATGACCAGCTCAGCAGCAGCAAGCGCAGACACCGCATGGGCCATATCCAGTGACATTCACGGTGCAAAGGGAACTTGCTTTAGCGAGACGTCTTCTGTGCCTTGTCTTATGCCTTGGAGTCAGTGGTTCATGCTGCCCGGTGCTTTCCATTGCATGTCGAGCCTGGCAAAAGGGTCGCATGAACTTACCCTTCCCTTGGCTGGCGCATCGACTTCCAAACATCCGTCATACTTCTTTGGAGCGAGAGACTGAGCATGACATGTGACGGCGCGGCCGACGGGCCTGAGTGCTTTGAAAGGTGTCAAGTGTACTGCTCAAACAGGGATCTCCGCGGACGCAGGCCGCAGGCTTGGGAAAAACACAACTCTCAAACTCTCAAACGCCAAATCTCCGGCCGAAAAGATGGAAAGGGACGACATCTGGAGACCTGAAGGAAACCAACCATCGGCGGTGTCCTTTTATCTTGGTGGAAAAAAACACATGTTGCAAACGGTTGTAACAGGGTTTCAAATATTTAGGGCTTATTTGGGGCTTATTTGGGCTCCCTCCCCCTCCTCTCCCCCCCAGCCCCCATGAGACTCTGGATGACGGAACCAACACCTTCGGGTCCAGCGCCCATCACTTTGAGACGGCGGCGAACGAGAAACGCCGCGGAAAAGGACGGGGGGAACTGCTAGCGCTCGAGCCCAGTCCGGTGGCACACGAAAAAGATGGGCAGTCCGTTTTGGCTCTCCGAAAAAGAACAACACGTGGACAAAAACAGTTTGTTTGATGAGTTCAGCAGAAAGATGCTGGGATTGAAGAGTGGATTCATCGACCCCTAGGGGAGTCCCCCAAAAATGGTGAAATTCGTTCTTCCTACAAAAAGGTTCCTCAGAACAGACGAACTGCGGCATACTAGTCTAAAAATGCTTGGGCAAGTCTTACGCACCTCACATCTGGGGGCAAGCTTACAGTCCGAAGAAGACAAATCCAGTGGCTTAGGTCAAACCCCGAGAGCCTTCACCTGGGTTTTGGATTAGTTTGGAGTCATGGAGACCTCCCGTTTCGGGGCTGTGCTCGGATCCTTCATCGCGAAAACTTCCGAAGGCCGAAAGAAAAAAGATAGACGAGGCCTCCAAACCATTGGATGTTCATAAAAGTTGGGTTTGGGGTTTTACTCTTCTTCTCTTTTTTACAAACACACACACACCAACAAAAAAATGGGTATTTATAAACACCCGAAGATCTGCACCGAAACCGTAGCCATCCTGTGCTTTCAGTACAGCAGCACGGCAGCACAGAGTCGTCTTTTCAAATGCACTTTGGCGTGGAGCGCACACACGCACTCTCCATGTCTTGAAAGTTGGGAACTCGCAAAGCAAACGAGTCTGCATCGGCCAATGTCCAGCCACGTCCAGCCGTTGATCAATTGTTTTCTCCACAAGCTGGGGCTGGTTGGACACGTTGAGATCTGCCTGGTTTTCTCTGGCCGGACGTGGGAAACGGCGGGCTCGGTGAAGTGTCTCCATGTACCGTGGCAAGAGCGCTGCTTCACCGGAATCCCGAGGCATCTGGATGAGCAAACCGTTGGCATACAGGGCCTGACCGAAAAAGTGACAGCTTAGCTTTGGACAAATACCTCATATAATTTACTTGACCTAGTCCAAAAAATAGCGTGCCCTTTCGCCCTTTTGCCCTGCTTTGTGAAGGCATTGACTTGCAGTCCACAACAACCTGCCGATCGATGAGGGCCTCAGGCTCGACCCAAGGTGTTTTCTGCGGTGTATGTCACCTTGGCTGCAAAAAAAGAAAAACACACGAGAAGCCGCAGTCGATTCAAAAAAAACCTCGCAGCCGGGAAAAAGGAAAGGTCGGCGGGATGCTGATTTTCTATGGGGCGGACCATGAGCAATGACCCGTCCGTCTCGGCTCTCCAGATCTGCACGCAAAAGCCAGCAGGCAGCACTCAAAAACCATGTCAGGCGCCTCTTCTACTGTCCTGCTGGTCCTCAGATTCCCCAACTTCTCGGCTCGAAATTGATAACTCGTGGCGGTTTCTCCTGTGAGTCTTCTCGTTCACGATGAGGTAAATGGTCTCTTTGCTGGTGAACTGACACAAGCTAGGGCAGGTGACAAGCTCCGCATAAGTTTCTGAAGGCCTCTGCCACTTTGGCCAGGTTGGTAGCGATGACCTTGCAACCGTTGTTTTTGCTGCGGCTCTCAAGCGTTTTTAAAGTGGACATCGAGCCCCAGGCAGTTTTGAACTCACCCCACGTTAAGGCCTTCGGAACCAGATACTTCTCCTTCTCCAGCTGCGGTAATTTGGACCTCGTCCAGAAAAACATCGCGCCGTGCAACTCATTTTTTTGCGTATGGACGAAAACCATCTCGGTTTCACCACCTAAGACACCCTGGAATGATGATCCCCATCTATTTCCCAACAACCCATGGCTTCAGCCATGGTTTCTCAAAGTGGTGCGAAAGAGTTTCGTCCATCCACAGAAACTCAATTGCCCGGAACGATCTTTGGATGAAAGCAGCAAATTACTGGCAACATTCAACCCGTTCTGACGCCCACCCTTTGCCTAGGAGCCCACCCTTTCCTGGGAGGTGTTTTGGCACACAAAAATGAGACTTGAGGGGATTCTGCGTTTGTAACGTAACTGTACCGTTCCTCCGCGCGAACGCAATGTCCCGCAAGGCAACCGTGAACTTTCGGCGCTCGAATGTTTGTTTTACTCGCAGTCACGGGGTGGCTCAGCTAACCTTCACACTCAACAGAGATTCGGGGTTCCTAGTTAAGTGGGGTGACTTGAGCCAAAGTCGCCGCGTGTGGCACTTGACGTGTCACTTTGAAAACACTCACACACCCCACACGGCAGACATCTTGGTCAGGTCAATGGTTCTGCGGCCAGACCAAAAACGGTTTTCCATTGACCAGTTTTATCAAATCGAAGAGTTGCGAACAGCACCGCGTGACAAAGCAACAAAAGCGTGCGCGGGGTCCAGTGACTCATCGGCATGCAGATCAGGCGACACCTGACCTTCGTCCGGCAAAGTATGTAGGATTAAAATGGCGCTGCGTATCCAGATACTGAACTCAGTAGACGGCGCTTCGCCGGCCTGAATCTTTTTCTGGGTTCTCGGCGGGCCGTGTTCACGAAGCCTCCCCCCCACGCGTGATTCATCAAGACATTTTCCGCACCGCAGCTTGAACCATTTTTTCCAGGCTGGTCACAAGATTGCTACCGAATATCGTGATTCTTGTCAACGCTGGCGTCTCGTCTGGGCTAAAGGCTTCAGGCAACCACCCTGGCCAAGCTTCGCTGCCCGGATCTCCACACCCGGGAAGCACATTCAACAACAGTTTACATATCCAGTGATCACGCTGATCATCTCTTCTTCCCTTGAAATCTTAGTGGACCATTGCTGGCCTGGGAGATGCACTCCCGGCAGCGATGTCACAAGATCATCAAACTTGGGCAGTGCCCCGTGCTGATGTTTGGCCCTCTTCGTGCCTATTATTCATCTATTCCAGGCGCAGCGCTGTGCAGCTGTTCGTTCTCTTCATTCTGCGCTCCGGGCTCAGCCTTCCTGGCCTTGACCCATGCCTCTTCGGCCTCGTCCTCAACCTGGGCTTCATGTTACCCATTGCCCATACTCCTGTCATGGAGACGAGTCTTGAACTCTTGTAGCAACTCATGCTTGAAAAGCGCTGTGTTGGACCCTGGCCTGCTGCTTCGCTCTTCATGAGCACTGTGGCAGGGTCCTCCTGACTCAACTGACTCCTAAGCGTGTCCCACTCGATCCTGGTTAACGTTGTTCACTTGCTGACGAGCCTCGCCTGTCAACTGTGCTTTCACAGCGTCGACTTCGCTCAGCCAGTATCTTGGGGGACTTCACCCAGTCTTCCTTTGGTTCCGCTTCACTTGTGATGTCAAGGCGTCGGTCGCTGTCATGATACTTTCAGCTCCTTTCAACTTGGTTTGCACGGTCGCCTCCTCGGACCAACTGCCCTGAAATCTCACTGCGCTCCATCCTGCCCTGCTGGGATTCGTTCTTCAGATCAAAAGCCATGGCTTTGAGTTCGTTGAGCCGCGCGCCCTTGATCTTAAGCTGGCAGTCGCCAATTCATACGCGTCCTTCATTCCCCCATGAATCTGAGCAGCCCAGAAGGCATTTGGCTCCGCAGCTGAATTGTGACTCCGTTTTGTGTTGGCGCAACTCCGACTCCTGATCACAATTGATCCGCGCTGCGGGGTCACTTGAGAAACTTCTGGGGAAGTGGCCTTGCATCATCAGAAGGCGCCCTAGAGCAAGAAGAAGCCCTCAACACCAGCGCGCACTCGCTACAGTGCAAAAATCTCCGCTTCCATAGCTAGTTCCGGCTTGCGACGATGCGCCGATGGCGGGAGCCGCCGCCTATCCAGCAAATGTTCAAAAATCGTCTCGTAAATACTGAGTCAGTACTGTTGCCCTAAGACAATGTGACGCTGATGTGTATGAAGTGGCTAATCCAACCGCCTTCAGACAACCCCACGTCTCCAAGCAAGTGGGCTAAACCCTACGGATAATCCTGAGAATCGAGGGGGATCTTTGTCCCAACATACCGTTCCTCCGAAACGCGCTGTCCCGCGCGGCAAGCTCGAATGGAATGCTTGTGTTACTCGCAGTCATTCGGGGTAGCTCAGCTAGTCATCGCACTCAACAGAGATTTGGGGCTCCTAGTTAAGCTTGGCTTGAGCCAAAGTGGACACGCGTATAAGGCTACTAAATGACATGTCAACTTGACAACCATTCACACAAAATCATGAAGCTCTCCAACTTGGAACCATCCCGCAAAGCGACGCAAATTGTCCTGGCCTGGGGTGCGGCCTCACCAGTATTGGAAGTCGGTCTGGATGCTTGGCCATCAGCATTTCTCGTTCTTGTTCCAGGGGGATGGTCCCCTGCACGCACCAGAAACACACAATGGTCCCACGATGTTACGACGTGTCAAGAATTAATTCCGCCCCCCCCCCCCCCCCCACTAAATGGTCCGGGCATTTACCCACTCGCGTCCTGCTCACGCTCACGCGCACCAGGTCAGAGCTGCACGCGCGCTGGCACATGATAAGCACACCTTGTCACGCGCACCACGTCAGAGCTGCGCGCTCATTATTGATAAGCACACCTGCTCAAGCGCGCACAGGATAAGCATCACGTCAGAGCTGCACGAAAAAACCCGCCCATGATAAGCGCACCCTGTCGCGTGCGTCAAAGCTGCACGCTCGTTGACACCTGATAAGCCCTCCCGCTCACGCGCACCACGTCAGAGCTGCGCGCTAGTTGACACATGATAAGCACACCCGCTCACGCGCATCACGTCAGACCTGCACGCTTGTTGACACATGATAAACACACCCGCTCAGGGCTTGTAAGCGCTTGCAGCATTTGCAAGAGATAGTAACTAAGTTCTAACATCGCTAACCTATGTTATAAACCAGCTTAAAGTAAGATATAAGTCGCGCAACAACAACAACAACAACAACTTGAATCGCAGACTTATAAGTACATACGAAGTAGCACGCGAAGTTTTTCAAGTTAGAAGTGCTCACCGTTGAACTTACGGAGCGGCGTTGCAACTTAGTTGCGGTAGTTATATGTGCACTGCTAAGTAGAGAGCGTCCCCTCGTTGGGGGGTGGGTTGTTGAAACCCACAAAATGCACCAGTTTCAACCCCACAAGAGAGAATTACGCGCGTTGAGGCAGATAGAGATTCAATAGTATGCGGGCAATGCGCTTTTAGTGCTAGGGACCTTGGATGTTGTGCCCAAATTTGCTTGTCTGTCTCAAGCAGCCTTCATCAAGCCATTGGACCTTCAAAATTGGCCCAGAATTGCTTGTCGGTTGCAAGCTTACACTATCAGACAGTGTTGAAGAAAAGGCCACTCGCCGAAACTGTCTTGTCTATTAGCAGTGTAGCTGCAATTCTCTTGGCATCTGTCTTGTCGTTCCTGTTGCAGTGTTTAGCATTAGAACTGAACTGGAATTCAATAGAACCCTTTGTGGAAACACAAGTTGGTCGTTTCTTCTGAATTGCCTGCCTCTTAAAAGGACTGACAAACCAATAGAAGCTCAAAGGACATGCAATGTCAGTTCTGTTGGTTTACAAGTTTTAGATTGCACCGCTTTAGGTTCAATCATATCTTGATTAGCCTTCAAGTTGACATAGCACGTTGAATTAGAATTCAAATAGGTGTCCCTTCCCAAGTAGGGTTTTAGTTGGGAATCTAATAAGGAAAGAGAAACTTGTTGTTTCTTCTAGTTTGCAACGCCAGGCTCTGCAAAGATGCGAAAACCCATGGAAAAAACTGGTTTCATGACAAGTTGTTTGCCAGGTTTACATTTCGAGGCAAGGTTTTACTTACATTCAAAATTGGATTCGATCAGACTTCACTTCATTTTCTTGAACTAGATATTAGTCAGCACTTCCCTTCCAAGCAGGGTTCTAATTAGAAGTTAATGGGCACCTTGAATTTAACTGCTAGTTTTAGATTTGTAATGGGGTCTTATCCAATTATGCTGTCAAGCAGAACTTAGTTATATATTTGTTTTACTTATAAATCTTAAGGAAATTGTAATCAGGAGTTCCATCCAACTCTAAATGGGAATGTCTTTCCAAATATGATCTGTATTTGGCATGTGTATAGCTAGAACCTAGTAAGGAAAGACAAGCTAGTAGTTTCTTCTACCTGATTCAATTTTTTAGCTGCTGTTTTGAATCATAATTTAGCTGGGAGTTCCTTTCTAAGTATCTAGGGATTTGATGAAATTTTAGACAGAATTTTGATAATATGGTAAGGAAAGACAAGCTGGCTTTGTCTTTCAGTCAATTTGAAAACTCGAGTTTTTTGGATTTCTGGAAAAGTGCAAAAACAAAAAACCAAAATTTCAGACCCTATGTATCCATGCTGGCCGAGTTAGGGTCTGAAGTTTTGTTTTTGCTTTTTTGGGAAAACTCGAGGTTTTTTGGAGTTTCTTGAAAAGTATAAAAAACTCGAGTTTTCCAAACAAACAAAATTTCAGACCCTATGCATCCATGCTGGCCGAGTTAGGGTCTGATTTTTTTGTTTTTGCTTTTTTTGGAAAACTTGATTTTCTGGCCTCGAGTTTTCCAAAAACAAAAAAGCCAAAATTTCAGACCCTATGTATCCATGCTGGCCGAGTTAGGGTCTGAATGTTTGTTTTTTGCTTTTTTGGAAAACTCGAGGTTTTTTTGATTTGTTGGAAGCATCAAAGAAATATACACAACAACTACCAAATCCCTGTGTTGCAAAACCCCCCCATGAGGGGCCCTTCTGTATAAGTATCACTGTGGTGTTTGGCGCAAGGTTATAAGTTAGTTTGGTTGAAGTTGCATAACGTCTATGGTTGAACTTGTGGGAGTTACGTCGCTGAAGTTATAACTTCGACTTGACCCACTTACGATGTTCCACCGTTGGACTTAGTAAGTTCGACGTGTTGGACTTAGCGAGTCCGACGCGCTGGAGTTACGTGGCATGTGTTTTGCAATTTACACCACGCATTTTCTGGGTTACGCTGCCGCGAAATCATGTGGCGCAACTTTTCCGCAGCGGTTGGGCGTGTTCTTTTTAACTCTGTGTTTGAAGAAGCAGGTGCGACGGGCGGTGAGCGACGGCGCGTCGATTGCTTGGTTTGGCACGGCGGCGGCTTGGTTTTTCTCGGGCAGTATAGGCGTGCCTCAAAAACACGCACGCTTGCAAGTGTAGCCTTGGATGTATATGTGAGAAAATTTGTTTCCATGCAAGACATGACTGGAAACCATAGCTGCAGTAATTCAGTCGTGGTTTTTGCAAATAGCAGTGGCTCAAACTGGCTTGACATGTTGCAACAGCGCGAAGAACCTCTGGAGCAGGAAGTCTTTGAGCTTGTTTGCGGTCAATGTTTTTGACATCATTTTAAGCTTGAAAGTTGCAGGGTGAACGTTGGGTGGCTTCGGATTGCTAACTTGTGGTGCAAATATGCATGTTTTGAACGTGGAACCCGCATCGAGTCCTGATGCTTCATGGAGGATAGCTCAGGGCCTCAGAACCCGCTGCACGCCTGTCATACGACAAGAGCCGTTGCGTGTTTGCTTGCCGGGGGGCAAGTTACCATTCTCAATGTGTTTCGTCTGGAAATAGTGCAAAAAATGCTAAGTCTTTAGAGGGAATCATTTTGACCTGGCGACGTTGGGCCCATCTGCTTGCAGTTTCGCTTGGTGTGTTGCAAGGTTTTCCAGAAGGGTGCCTAAAGCTGGAAGCTGGCGTCGAAGGCGGGAATTGCAATTGCAGAGCGCATTGCCAACTTGGCGCTCGCAGTCTTGCAGTAGCAGAGCACGCGTGCTCGTTGCGACCGCAACCCTGTCCAAGTTGCATGTTGCGACCGCCTGTGGTCGTGCAGTCCTCAACCCTTAGCAACAGTCGCTTGCGTGTATCTAGAGGGACGCCTGTTGATACAGCCTTGACAGAAGACAGCAGGAAAGCAATTGAAGCCCTTTTGGACAAAGGGGGCCCGCTTGTGGGGCAAATGACTTGGCTTTTCATGCGGGGGGGGGTCCAAATAATGGCAACGCAAATCATTTGGCCCTTCATTAATTGAATAATACTACTGGCAGAGGCTGGTGGCCGGGGGGGGGGGGGTCCAAATAATGGCAACGGAAATCATTTGGACCTTCATTATTTGCATAACACTAATGGCGGAGGCTGGTGAGCGAGGGGGGGGGGGTCCAGATAATGGCAACGGAAATCATTTGGCCCTTCGTTATTTGACAAATAGTAATTTGGTGTTTCATTGCTTGACCATTACTAAGGTCCAAATACTGGCGGCGGACATCATTGAACCCTTCGTTCTTTGAATAATGCTCATGACGGGGACTGGTGAGGCAAATACTGGCGGCGGAAATGATTTGGCCCTTCATTCTTTAAGTAATAGTCATGGTGGAGGCTGGTAAGCAGGGGAACGCATGGGCAAAAAAATGGCCAGGAAATCATTTGGGCATTCATTATGGCCAGGAAACCAACGCATCGTTCAAATAATGGCGGGCAACAACATTTCGTTTTTCATTATATGGGCGCTTGTGTCAAATAATACAAATGGCGGAGCATGGGGGGGATCCAAATAATGACAACGGAAATCATTTGGCCCTTCATTGTTTGAATTATACTAATGGCGGAGGCTGGTGAGCGAGGGTGGGTGTTAAATAATGGCAGCGGAAACAATTTGGCCCTTCATTACTTGAAGAAGACCAATGGCGGAGGCTGGTGAGCGGGTGGAGGTTCCAAATGATGGCAACGGAACTCGTTTGGCCCTTATTTTTCAATAATATTAATGGCGGAAGGTGGCGAGCGGGGGGGGGGGGTCCAAATAATGGCACTGGAAATCATTTGGCCCTTCATTATTAGAATTATACTACTGGCAGCGGCTGGTGGGCGGGGGAGGGGGGGTTCAAATAATTGCAACGGAAATCATTTGGACCTTCATTATTTGAATAATACTAATGGCGGAGGCTGGTGAGCGGGGTGGGGGGATCCCCCTTCGAAAGGATAGTATTTCATTGTCTGACCCATGCTAAGAGTCCAAACAATGGCAACGGGAATCATTTGGCGCTCCTTGTTTGAATAATACTAAAAGCACATAATGGCGTCGGAAATCATTTGGCCCTTCGTTACTTAAATAATAGTACTGGCGGAGGCTGGTGGGGGGGGGGGGGGGGGAAGGGTCAGCGAGACAGGACTGGTATAATGGCATGGGACATCATTTGGGGTCCCATTATTTGACAATCATTTGGCCCCTCAATGTATTGAATGAGAGTAATGGCGGAGGCTAGTCAGGGGGGCGGGGCAACGAGCAAGGATAGTATAATGGTAATAATTTGGGGTTTCATTACGTGACCACTATCGGGCTC